TAAGATATAAGAAAGTTAAATATTGTTAAGGATTACAGTTTACAGTTATAAATTACTGTTGTAGATGGTTTTGCCAATTTTATTAATTTCTAGTTAACCTTTGTTAAATCTTGAGATATTGTATCTATTAAGATTTTAATTGATTAAAAAAAAACAAAAAGAGTATAATCGAAGCGTATAATGCTAAATTAACGAGCATGTAAGAATTGTTGGTATACATGTTGACTCAATTGACTGGAATATGAGATTGGATGTGTTGTATTTAGACCATTGTCACTTTTGACATAACTGTTGAGTTGAAGTAAAATAAAAGTGTTAACTAAGGCTTTTAATAGTAAACTCATCAACATATAAGAATTGATGCTGTCACTTGCATAGCATACGAGAACGGATGTATTAAATAAGTGAGGGTGTTTTAATGTTGAATTGTACAAAATTACAGGTGTAGAGATATTGGAAGTTTATAATAATAACGGTGATGTTGTTTTCAAATATTTGGTTGATATTGATCAGATAAATAAGATTGAATTAAATTTAAAGCGTTGTCTTTGACGACGACGGAAGTTAAAATTTTTATAAGTAATGATCAACGCAATCAAATGCTGGGCATTTGATTCCATAGATTAGTCTGAGCACCTATATGCACTTGTATGTGTGGCTGAACGCCCTTTGGAGAAATCGGATTGACTATTGTACTAACTAAATAGTTTAAATTGAAATTAATCCTTTCAGAACTGATTTTATGTGTCTGTTGTAATTAATGGGAAATTAGAAGAGGTGCTAATTTATAGAACCCAGACACCGTATACAGACACTTTAGAAATATTATGAATAAAGCGCTCGAGGTGTACAAGATAGTTACACTGCAAGATTGTAGTAAGGACGATCACAAGGTAAAATTTGATACACCTCTATGGAAAATAGTCGGTAAATATACGCGGTGAAGAGTTGTACATGAACGAATAGATCTGAAAGATTAAGGAATGTTAGTGATACAATGATGAGTTACAATCGATGACAAGCTGAATTATGAGCAAAATGGCTAATAGAACGGGCGGTTGATATGACAATGAAAAATGATTTGCAATACTTTGATGAAATTATGAGATTAATATAATTATCATATGACTATGAATACGATTTATGGATCTTAAGGTAAATGATGGTGATTTAGATTTGATGATATACTGATGAGATGATTGCGCTGAGATCGCGGCTGATGGTTCCGTATACGTTAGTTCACGGAGAAAATGGGGATCCGCGTGTGCTCAATGCGACGTACAACGAACGACTCGCTTTTTGTTGATGCTACTCAAGATTTGGTAGATAATAATAGGAGTAGGGTATGTGGTAGTAATATATTGCATGTTCGTTCAGAAATTGGTAGATACTAGATATATATCAACCAGATATATAATTCGAATTTGGTACATAATTAAATTGAATTAACTTATGATTAAATGTTATAAAGTCCTTTAAAGCGTTGGAGAAATAGTAAAATGGAACCAGGAAATCCAGTTCTTAAAGATATGTAATAGAATAAAAAGTAATAGTAAATTTTGATGGGAGTGCATATAACCCATAGTTGAGTTGCAATGTAGAGCACTTGAGGCTGAAGTAAAAATAGCATAGTACCATAAAGAATATGACTAGTTGGAGGCCGTAACTCCTTGCGTGCGCAAGCGGTGAATGCCTCATTGAGAAAATGACCAGTTGTTAAATATTTGATGTGTTTCAGTTGGAGGCCGTAGTTCCTTGTGGCGGCAAGAAGTGGCTGAGTCTAATGAGAATCTGACCAGTTTGAGGCCGTAGCTCCTTGTGTGGGCAAGCGGTGGCTGAGTCTAATGAGAATCTGACCAGTTTGAGGCCGTAGCTCCTTGTGCGGGCAAGCGGTGGCTGAGTCTAATAAAATCCAGATCTGTTGAGACCGTAGTCATAGTGGGCAAGCGGTGGCATTTTTTTAATGTTTTGTTTTAACAGGTATTTCACTAATTAGCTAGGCAGCCGTGTTTGCAGAGATGCTGACTAGTACCTGGTGTGAAAAATTAAGTGATACAACTTAAGGCGGAAAAATATAACAAAGACTGAATTCATGATGTTGAAATGTAATGTGTAGTTGTCAGTGGCAACTTTCATATTTTAAGTATGTAAATTATCTCAAACTAAATTTTATATGATTTTAATTTTATTATATTACCCGATGTTAACTGTTATGATAATATCGAATGAGGCCCTTCGATAACGTTGGATGGCCGAAGTGGCTACGAATACCATCGATAAAATATAAAGTGAATAGTAGGCTTACTAAACTCACGTTCGTTTGACGAAAGTTAGTAATTCGTTTTATGGAAATTGCGCAAGGTTTTACAACAAACTCCCAGAGTCTGTACTCAATTTGCCAGAAAAAGAAATCAAATGTGTCATAAAATATTTTCTTTGTAAAAAAAAAAAGCTTATAAAATTGAAAAATTTATAAATGTCATCATTTATAAATCAGTGTTTTTTTTTAGAAAATATCTAACTTGAAATTCATAGCGCTGTCAATGTTGTCTGATTGAACGGAGATTAAGTGCGTAGCGGTTTTTATGGTGATTGCCGCACGCCTAATCCTTGTTGTTAATTAAATATAAGTAAATCAATATTTATTTAAAAGAGCAACACACAGGTTTCTTGTTTATTCTTCTTGTGATGAATCTGCGTTCCGAATAAGAGATAGATTCAAAAATCTTGACTACTCAAAAGTGCTTATATTAAGTTTGTTTGAATAAAGATTATTTCTATTTAACATTAATCTGGAACAGTGGGTTTTGGTTTATGTTAAACTGGTGTTGTAAAGAAAATTGAGATCAGTATCTACAATCATTTATAGTTCCCTAAATGTACAGGGTTCAAAGGGTGCAATAGATTACTTGACCAGTGAGCTGATGGTATTGTTAAGTAAATCATAACTGAAATTCAATGAATTATGTTATATTAAAATAATTCTCTGGTAAATCAAGAGTATCGTCGAAGTAAAATAGTAGTAGTAGTATTGAGGGTATTAGAACCACTTGAATAATATTGACCTGTTATTTTCTATTGGTGAGGTGAAGGCAGGCAGCGATTTTGTTCTAATTTTATGTCACGAGAATAATACTTTCTCTTTATATTTTTTTCTCTATATATGTAGGTAATTAAGTTTTACCTTTTGTAATGTGATATGTTAAATTTATCCGTTAAAATATTCATGATGAGAAATGTCAAGTTCTATTTTGGAGGTATAAAAAAAAATGCAATGTTCATAAGATCGGAAACTTACATTGTGATGGTGATATGTTACAGTCTGACTCATAGAAGTCAATCACCGCCAAATAATTGTTTGTTACTCTAAAAGGTTGTTCATGTTTTTGGGTGATTTGGATTATGTAAATTAATATGTTATGTTATATTTTGTGCATTCTGAATGCATGCCGAAACTTAGCTCTGTTAGTATTGATTTTAGATTGTAAACCTTTGACAGTATACTAAGATAGTCAATGTTATGAAAGTAATGTGTATCTTTAGTTTATTTAGTTAAGTATTTGTTATATGATCCTGTAGACACTATATCCTTTGATAAGCATGACTACGCTCATCAGTTACCTATGTGTCTGGGCCAGACACTATTGCAGGATGGCCGACTGTTAACTATCGTGTGACGCACCATTAATTAAAAATGGTAAAGTCAATAATCATGTAACCTGAAACGGAACGTCAGAGGCCAGAGCCAAAGTAATCTATGTGACATTGACAAGTGGATGACGGACGATTGAACGGAGGCAGCGGGAGTTTTGGAGCGAAAGTGTTGATATTATTATAAAAACAAATAAGAGATAGATAATTGTGACTAACCGGCATTACGCCTAAGTCGTCAGGATACTAGTGATTGTAAAAATCGGTACACAATAAACCTAATGATTCACAACTGCGCGCCCTACATTTTGCAAACAGATGCGCGCAAAACCTCAGCACTCTGACGAGCTATCACCCGCCCTCGGTACGTCCGAATAATTACAATCGAGTCGCTGACAATCGCGCGATTCTATCACAAAGCTCGCATAATCGGACACTATGACGAATGCCACCGCAGCACTACACGACTTAAACGCCACGCTAGACATTCAAACTTCAACCGTAATTCTATTCTGCGTGAGTGCAAATTGCATTAGCAATTTTGAGCATATAGTGATGTACTACAGCATGATACCCGTTTGTGACAGGGACAATGCAATAATCCGCGCATTGTTGAGTCGACATTGTTGTTTTAAGGGCGGCCGGGCGTTCGCAACAATTGTACGTTTTATTGCATAAATAATAATGTTATTTCGCCCAGCGGCGTTTCATTGTGGCTTTTTGTCACTAAACTTTGAATATTGTTCGCGACTATAACGATTTAATACGATTGTATTTTATACGCATACGATATTTAATTGGTTTTTTTTAAACTAAAACTTTGCCAACTAAGTAACTACAGCAGTTAATTACAGTAACTAAAGTAGGCACTTAAGCACTTAACTGAACGAGTTAGTTTTTATTTATTAGAATATAACATATTCGTGCACACCGTGTTATAGAAACGTCCATTTTAATTCTTGCTAGACACATATTTCTATTGTATTGCTAGATACCTAATAAAAAACCGCGCGAAGTACACCAAAATTTATATTAAAGAAATATTATATTTTGTATATATTTATATTTTAAAAATACTCGATAAGTGAGTTATCCTGCAATTTATGATACTCTAATTTAAAAAAAGAATCTGCCTCGAATCTGTTTAATGTTTCTATAACCGTAATAAGAAAATTTAAATTTAGAATATTAGAAAATTAAAAATTTAAATTACAAATGGCCATGTATTACGGCCGCAAATGATTGCTTCTCCATTTATTAAAATAAATATAATTATATTGTAGGCGATTGTTAAGAACCAAATCTTTAGAACATTGGATATTAGTCCTAATTTAAAATGTCTTTTACAGAGCGCTCCACATGAAAGAACACCCAGACTACAAATATCGGCCACGAAGGAAACCGAAAGCGCTCGTGAAGAAGGAACCAAAATTCGGTTTCGGTATTAGCGGATTAATGGCCCCAGTACCGAGATTAGTAACGCCGTCGGTACCCCATCCGGTACCACAGCTGCCAATGCCGCACCACTTGTTACCAGACAAGCCGGATCTGAGCAGGGCCCTGTTCCCGCCTTTGCCATACCCGTTCTACCCTTTTGCGAAGATACCGTCCGATGATGGGAAGTTTGCGGCAGAATTGGCTCACCTACAGGTAATGCGGCCAGTTTGTTTTAGGAAGCGAAAGTCTTAAGGGGGTCTTCCTATGTGACGGCCTGTTTTTTAGGGATATTTTAGGATTTTTTTTCTACGACCAGTAAATATTTAGAGCTTCAAGTTTTTTATCATTTATTAACACATATTTGGACAGTATAAATATAAAATTTCAGCTAAAAATATTCAGTCAAACTAGAGTTACAGCGCTCTGAACACCCCCGCCTCGAAAAAAAGAGCTCCCACTTCCTCCACGATTCCGGCTGATCGGCTTATCTGAAAAAAAAAAAAAAACGGCGTTTTAATTTGTAGGCTTAAAATCACGGAATGACCTATAATCAAATGAATATAAAAAAAATTGGATTTTTGATAGACATTTGAAATAAAAGTTGCAAATTAGGCGTTTTTTTTTTTTTGTTTTTTGCTATAAAAAAATCGAAGTTTTGAAAATTTTCGATTGATAATAGTTCATTCCATGCGTTTACATATATTGAGTGTGCCCTGTAAATTTCAAGTAATTCGGTCCAGCCGTTTCTGAGATACAATGGAGGAAAGTTTGAAAAACACAGTTTTGAGAAAAACGCGTTTAAAGTTTCAAGTCCGTTAAAAACTATTAAAATATCAACTTACTCTCAATCGGCGATGCCTGGTCCATAGAGTATTCCTTCCTCTTCCTCGTGAAACTCTTTTAAAGCAGATTGTTCAGCTCTTGAGTCAATCCTGGCTTGTTTAACGACATCACTTACGCGCCGCTCAGAGCGTAAGATTCGCTTTTCATCCCGTTTCTCAACATACGCTTGGGCTTCACGACCAACAGGGCATCCCATAATCGACATAACTTTTAAAATACCTTGAAAACCTTCATTAAAGATAATAACTGCTAAGTAGCTAGCAATTTCAACAACTTTGGGACCAGAATGAAGATGTTTAGGAGCGAAAGTCCAAATCAAAGAATTCAAAGATTCGTTATTGTTTTGTGTCTCTGCTCCTAAACAACGAATTAATAATTCGTCTTTCGATAAATCTTCGAAAACCGGTTTGATAGCTTCTTGGACTTGCGGAATTAGAGGTGGTTTATCGTGATGAAATTGGTCCAGTTCATTATTAGCTTCAGCCTTACGCCATTTACACCAACTGTCTTCGCCTTCTGGACAAAATTGATGCTGAGGGTTTTCATCAGAAGAACATTTGTGATAGTACGTTGCCCAAACTTCCTTTCTCATATCTTCAAGCGAATCTGGATGGCGTCGAATTGCTAATCCGTAGAATTTTGTAATTTCTTGGATAACTTTATCAGTAAGTTTACCTGCTCCTTTTCCTCCTATTCCTTTATTGGTTTTATCCTTTTTAACAGCCCGAAGTCGTGTTCCCATCCTCTTTTCTACGTGACCCACACATTCTTTTTTTGTTACCGCAGTATCTCCATACGGTTTAGTATCTAGGATGCCCTTGAAAGTTTTGCTGTCACCGTCGCCAATGTATGTTAGATACTTTACGCCATATTTTTCTACAGACCTCAGAAACATTTTCGTGATGGCACTTATTTCCATTTTACCGGAACTTCCGGAATGGTTTATGGTGCATTCATCTACATGCGTTTCATACCACATCTCGTATTCTAAAGGATTTGTTTTTTTTTTATTTTTCCACAAATTACATCCACCACAAAAACTACTCATGACCATGACATCTAAAACTTTCCTAGTGTACTTGCCGATCAACGTAGATACGCCGAGCAGAGATGAAAAGCCTCTTTTCTTCCAAGTACCGTCACCTGACACAATCAATTCATCCTGTGGTTTTCCTGATTCTTCATTCATAGTTTTTTCTTGCGTAACAGCGAATGCCAATAAAGTATCACACAGTGAAGATGTAGCAATATGAATGTTTTTCAGTAGTGCAGTATAAGTAGAATTTGCAACACCCGAACACATGTCCATAAAGCTACAGAAAAGATTTACTCCTTCTTGACCAACTCCCAATAATCGCATCGCAAATACAAACCGACGATTAACCTCAAATGCATTTCCGATCAACGGGCCTGAGTTTATAACTGTCTGTTTTTCACACTCACACGATAAAATAATTTTAAAGCCTAGGCCTCGGAAACTTGATCGCGAAATAGACACGTCACTTTTACAAGTTTTACATATAACTATTTCAGAGATTGCAGCAAATACAGAAACAAACTCCAAAATGCAATATGCGAAATTCGAAGCGATGGGAACATTCATGTTCATGTTATTTTTAAGTTTTTTGGCCGAAGCTGATGTAAATACCGTATCATTTTGGTGGGTAAAACGGTTTCCACTAAACTTTCTTTTTTTACTACGACCAGGATGAACATTTCCACTCGTACTTCCTTTCCGTCCACTCATTATGAAAAAAAAATAATTTGTAGCTGTTGCTCTCTTCGAAGTTCAACCAAGACTAAAATAACTTCGGTAAAATATTATAACAATAGAAATTTCTGTTTAAGTCTGTAGAAACGTGTCTAAACTTGTATAAACAAATATATTAATAAAAGGGAGGCCAGGTATAAAGCCGACGGTACACAATAGGCCCGGTCTCTAACTGCCAACTCACCGCTCCTAACCGCTCTTTCTTTTACCTGCTGTATCTTTAAAACGACTTCGAATTTTCTAAAATCGCTTTACTACCGTATTCTAGACATGTTAAGAGAGCAATTTATGAAAAAAAAAAAAATCGATTTTTTCAACCCATCACATAGGAAGACCCCCTTAATAGAAATACTGAACTTAGTCTTAATAGAAATAACTTGGTTTATTACAAATGACTTTATTCTTCAAATTCAACATTCCATATTTAAAAAATGACATAGATAACGAAGAAATAGTAAAGTAAAATTAAACCTCAACATTATCTGCACTGCGTTAAAGATTCGAACATTCTCGACTTCTCAACTTAAGCAGTAATTGGGATGGCAAACAAGCCCACCTATGGTAAATGGTAACTATCGCCTATACCTATACATGAACAGCACTACTAGCATCACTTTATCACATTCCAGAGGAGTAAGACATCATGTTTCTTAACCGGTATTTTAACTCCCTAATCTGCACCTTACAATTGAAATATAGCTTACAAGCTGCGCCAAGCAGCTTGCTTTGCTAACATCGGCGAGCGTAGAATAGAATAGAATAGAAAATTCTTTATTCAAATAAACTTACATTAAACAGCTTTTGAATAGTCATTACTTATTTTTTTTAATCTATCACTAATTTCTAAAGCTCGCTCATCACAAGAAGAATGAAAAAGAAACTTGCGTATTGTTCTTATAAATAATTTAGTAACTTGTAACTTTACATTTTTAAGTACAAATAAGTGAGATTGAGGTGCTCACTTAGACAACTTTTTACAATAAACCTCGGTAATGTCTCCAATTTTGAAACTGAAAAATATTGGTTTCCAATTCTAACAAAGGTGTTGTAACCCATAGGCGATCTACGGTGGTGCGTTATACAGCAGTGCGTTATACAATAGCGCACTGTCCCCCTGCGGGTGCCCCCCTCGTCGGACTCCGTCCCCCCCACCAGCAGACGTGAAGCGTCCAGTGGCTTACGTCCTGATGAAAAGCGATGAGGAACCGCCCCAACACGTCATATGAAGGCCGGTGGCGCTCCCAGCTAGACCTTGGTCTCATTGGGAGCGGCCGTCCACTTCTGTTCAAGATCGGGAGACCAGCTCGCCGGATAGTGTGTAAATTGGTATGTGAGATTGTAAATATTTATCGATATAAATATGAATTCATGAGCAAGTGATGAAAGACTAATTTAAAGTGATGAACTAAAAGTGATGAAGTGATTAGAAAAAGAACATAAATAATGTGGAGTTGAAGTACCAAAGCAGCAAAGAGTAATCTCTACCAGTGTTATTGCACTTTTTTTATAATCAGCTAGTGATTTGAAAGATATAACGAAGGAATGTTTTATGTGTACTAGATACCCAGTACATGTATACTCTCAGTATAGTCAGTGTTTTACGGTTTAAAATAGAATTAAATCAAAATAAACAATAAACAAATTATATTATTTTTGAACGACCCCAAAAAAGTCAATATTACCTACGCATGCTTAATCGTAAATTGCATTAACTAAAAGTTATTTTATTGAAAAATCTACTTTAATTGCAAGTCGTAGAGTCGATTTGTCCGATTCCTTTGTTTTGAGTTAATACTTTTTGATGTTAATATCCTCGCGAATATGTTTATAATTAATTCAGTTTTTGTAATTTTGTTGATATTTTTTATGTAAATATAATTAGAATTATTAAGAAACATTAAATTGTTACATCATTTATTTTCTTTCTACACAGCCATGAAAAACACTTTAGTACTCTGTCACATTAATCATATATACGGATCGCTAAATATTTTATTGGATATTACCAATAAATTCTTATTGTGACATAGTATAGAAGTGTTTCCTATAGCGATTTTAATTTTAATATGAAGTTCATAAGGTTGAAAGTGCAATGAAATATACGTGCAATGTATAGATGTTCAGAGGTCTGCCTCTTCGAATAGGTAACATATCATAGTTTAGTTATATATGTAATAATATGTATAGTTAGGAGAATTAATGTCAATTTGTAAAAAGACTAGGTCAGTTTAACTGTTGTTTAATTGTATTTCTAATGAGAATCTTGACATTATTCTACAATATATTGCACTAAATGTATACTTACTACATCTTTTCAAACGAGTATAAAATTATCTCTCTTTATACATATATAGTTTGTTGTCAATTGATTTTTTAATTTCTAATAATCTACTTCAATTTTTATATTAAAATGGTTTCACAAATAACATAGCTTGTATATAGATTAAAAAATATTTGTTACGTTTTATTTGGTGGCCATATCTCTCTCTCACTCTTCATGGATATATGTCCCACATGGTGGATGGGGTCAGTTTTCCTTATTTTTCTCCGCCACTTTACCCTATCCCAGACATCATCGTCACTCGCTCTACCACATCCTTAGCAACTACATCTTCCGGGGACCTGTCTGACCGGGGACAAACTTCAAGTAATTGTGGTCATATCTGACTTCGAAAAAATTATAGTTGTAATATTATAACTAAATGAACTTGAATGTAACGAAATAGATGCAATATTATGTAAGTTAATGATTTGTTCTCGGTTTTTCATAATAATTACAGCTGTAATATTGTAATAAAATTTATTTGAATCTATTAGAAAGACATAGAACGTAAGTTAATGATTTCAGCTCAATGTTTATTTTGTTTAATTTGAAAAATGACGGAAACGATTAGAAATTGTATACAAAAAACATATATGCATATCGAATATAAATTACTGTAAATATTATCATATAATTAGATTGATATTAATAATGTATCATGTGAATTTATGTTTATTTTTTAATATTTTTAATAATTATGTTCAGTTGTGATTTCGATAAGTGTTATTCGTTGTGGTAGCTGTTTATATTTTTGTGTACGATTTTTTTTTAATTGAGAGCACGCATATGACAATCATTGTAGCATATCTCGAATATTTTTTTTATTATTTTTAAGTTATTTGCCCACCGATGTGGTATGGACTGTTTTATATCATGTAATAAACATGAAAGCGTATAGAATCAAACTTTGTTATAGATTTTTTAATTGATGAATTGTGCACACGTCTTTGATAACGATTTACGCTGCCGGGGCACCAGTGGAGGATGATAAGATGAACATGAAGTTTGGTCAGTTAGTCTATCGTGACCAATTTACCAGGAACTTATCACAGGGGGAACTGCGTGGAGGTCAACCTGACATGGTACATTGCTAGCAATAGAGTCAACAATAACAACAGTCCACATTATGAACAGACTCTTACCTCCACAATCTCATACTATTCTTATATTCTAGATGGGCTAGTCAAAGTCGTGGTGAAAGCAACACACGCTCACTTCTATCTAAAATAATCTAAAGTTTCTAGAACAATTCTTTCAGTTTGTTATCGATGTGTCACTGAACATTCTTCTTATCCATCATCCTCGCCTCGTGCTGAGCGAGGTCAGCTTCTCTAATATTGAGGCGCCATGCATTTCGCTGGTAAGCATCTTAATTAGACAGGCCCAACTCCTTCATGTCCCAATGAATATCAGTCAATCAGGTAGTTAGTGAACAGTCATAAATATAAAAATGAATAAAAAAAAACAATTTTATTTCGGTTAAAATTGAACCCATGTCCTCTTATGTTGGGGTAATAACCACTAAGCTAACGCTCTCATTCAATCGCCTACGTTATGATTATTTAAAGTGTGTCAAATATGTGTTTTTTCGCCTAAATATAATGTAGTCATATGATATAGTTAAAGACTTTATCCTCGAATGAATCATGATATAAAACAGTCTGACTACACAAACAAACGGAAAGAAGTTTTAAGGAAAATACTGACAATTTTTTAATCTGAATTCCTATATCTACTAACATTGTATACGAATAATCATATGTTAAATTACTGTTAACTATTAGTAATGTAAATAATTTAGGAAACAATTATGTATTTATAAATTTCTTATTTACTTGATCGACTTGTATTATTTTATTTAAATTTAAACAAAACAATACATCCATTAAGTAGTGAAATGGACTTCGGCAAAATAACACCTAAATCGATTAAATTTCTTATTTGAATAGTGTATAATATAATAATAACAATTTGGCAGCCTCGGTGGTCTAGTGGTTTAGCACACCGCTTTACTATACGATGGTCGTGGGTTCGATTCCTCGCACGGTACAAACATTTGCATTCATGAGTATGATTGCATCGGTCTGGGTATTTTCTATGTATAACATGTATTTATTTACAAAAAAAATGTATCCATGTATTTATATCAGTAGTCTAGTACCCATAACACAAGCTCTGCTTAGCTTGGGACTAGATGGCGCTGTGTGAATTGTCCTGAGATATTATTATTATTAATAAATAGAATACCTGGACGACACATAGAACGGGCTAGATAAGCCCCAATCTTAGCCCCAATCCCTAGCAGAGGTTGTGGGTTTATGGGTACCTACTAGACAACTGATATGTATAGAAACAATTATACACATTTTTTTTAATATGTACATAATATACATAGAAAACACATAAATTAAAACATACAATCATACTCACTTTTGTATCATACGACGAATGGAACTTGCGACTATCGGGAATAAAGCGATACGTTAAAACCGCTCGATCACCGAGGTCAGTAAACTAATGATTTTAAATATTTTAAATGCACGTCAGTATTTATCCTGCAAACTTTATAGTTGTAAATTTGTGTAATTAGTATTTGTAATATTTTAAAAATCGTTGTTGAAATATTTTGTTTGTTGTTGATTTTAGTCTTGTACTCACACGGAGCATGTTGTCTGCTGTGGACGAGACGGATATTAGGATTATCATTAAGTTTTTATACTTTTGTATATGGGTTCAGTTATTAAAATAATTACAATGAAAATAAAGAATATCATTCAAAGCGTATATTTTTCATTTCTTAAACCAAGAACAATCTGGCTTGACCTGGTAAAATCTGGATATACCGAATAGCTATTTGGCGATAAAACACCCATAGTTACCTTTGTATCTTATTGTAATCATGTTTTTTTTTTAATTTTTAATACATATTGGTTTATGTAATTATTTTTCTTTCTATGCGGAGAACTATAAAGGGAGGGTGGTATAAATTAAAACAATTGTATGCAATAAAAGAAGTGTAACACAGCAATTACAATGACTGTAATAATGAAATCTTCAGTACCCCATGTTTTTTATTTCATTCCCAAAATATACATTTGTGAATAAAGTTTAATGGTTGTAACAAAAAATTTGATATATATAAAAAAAATTAAGTGTTCCAACCAAAGAATCGAATTCGAGGCTTTACTCATAGTAACACTTATACATATTGCATGATAAAGAATTTCTCAAATATATTCAATTTAAAAAAAAGACAGATACAAATCTTTTGATTAAGTAAAATCTTTGCATAGTATAAAACGAAGTAGCCGATGCTATTTGTTCGCTTACAGTTTTAAATTACGCAACGGATTTTAATGCAGTTTTCAGCAATAGATAGAGTGATTCAAGAGGAAGATTCGTATGTATAATACATGCATGTTATAGTGTAGAACAAGCCGAGAAATTCAAAGACTTGTAATGTGTCCATAGAAGCCACGACGTCGCTAGTTTAATGTAAAATTTAAACTTTGCTCTATCTCAAAGGCACATCTCTTTATATCTTTACTTACTAAAATCTATATCGAAATAAAATTTACCGTTTAGTTACCCAGACTGATAGGATAGTACTCGAAGCGTTGGAATATTGTTTTTAATACGGTAGATACTGAACAAGACATGTGCACATCGAGCACCACTTGAGGAGTCAGTCGGCTTTAAAAAGGGGGGAGATCTTAACTGGCAACACTCGATTATCGACGAATAAACACTCCACGGGCTAACAATGGGGTGTGGGGTGTGGGGTGTGGGGTGACGCACATGTTACATTTGATGCGATATATTTCAAAGTAAACAATATACTTTCTGTCATGGTACAGAAGAAGAGGCAAAGAAAGAAGACCAATCGTAACCGTTGTGGCACTGGACTGACTAGACCCAACTTCTTCCTTCGTGCCGCAAAGTCGAAAGACAGCGTGGAGCTTTTCTAGAGGGGTATATAAAGGTTTCTTAAGGGCCGGCAACTTGTGTTTCAGCCATCCATAAGGTACGATAACCCTTTACTACCAGATGGACTGTATGCTAGATTAACTACGACCTCGCCTGAAGACATGAAATTAAAGGTGACGCTGCTGGAATCGAGTCACAACGCGAGCTTCAAAGCGTTTTACGATCCGGTCCACCTTCATGAAGGCCGATTACTGTCCGAAGCGAGTGGTGTACCGACGCTACCGTACCATTATGAATGTGGTGACATATTGTCATTATTTTTATTTTCTATATATATTTGTCCTTAAGGTATATATAATATAAACTAATATTTTTATATATAAAACTTCCGAAAATAAAAATAAACTATTATTATATCACACTTAATACTGGATAAAGTAAATAAATTCAAAT